TAAAAGCTGTTGCTTACCCTCCACAATGCAATGATGAAGTTGTTCTTGTCCTGAACACTGCTTGCTACCCACTTGTAAGTCTTATCAAAATGAAGATGAAACTCTGGATTTTCCTAAAAAGCAAATCAATGCAAAAGGAGATGAAATTATAGCCCGCGAACGGCAGACGTTTCTTCTCACTCATCGCAACTGAGGGACGTTTCGCGAGGAGGAACGTCTGCAACTCAGCAACAGAAATTCCATACTGATGACATAAATCAATGTTTACATAATAAATCAGGTAGTCATGGGGTTCAAAATGCAAATTTGCTCAATTTTACTTTTCTCCTGGTCGATTTTGGAAAAGTGTTGTGTTCATCTGCAAATGAGCTCCAGCAAAACTCAAATGCTTCCTCTAGAGAAGACTACACTCCACAAATATTGACTGTTTTGTTAGAGATTCATCGCGTTCACATTTGACCTTTCTGGCCTTTTGTCTTTTGTCTGTCATTCGTAAACAATAGCTACAACAATGAAACTACTCCGTCAACCAATTAGCGCTTCTGACCGGATTCCGAACAGATTTTGCGTCATCAGTATGGAATTTCTGTCGCTGAATCACAGACATTCCTCCTCGCGAAACGTCCCTCATCAGCAGTGATAAGCGAGGAGAAATGTCTGCCGTTCGCAGGCTAATGAAATTATAACTTGTGTGCTGTAAGAATATCTTGCATGTCACTAACTCCATCCAAGTCAATGTTGTCTATTCTCACATTTGTTTCATCTTTGCCATCGATGAGCTTGAGGTCCTTCAGTCTCCAGTTTGATCTCTTCTTGTAAGAATCTTTTTCAGTTCTTTTAACTTGATAAATGGACACTGTTTCTGGTTTCACTTCAGTCACTAAAGAAGAAGAGGACATAAGAGTAAAAGCAAAAATAAATCTACAACAACTTCATGCTTTCGTTCTTTCTCCTTCTGCTTTCTTTAATGGGCTATTGCATTTAATATCCATACCCGCCCTCCACCCCCAGTTGACGAACCATGGAATTCTTCAGGGGCACAGTATAAAAACTGAGGATTTCTTTAGGGGTAGAATAAAAAAATATGGAATTCTTAGTGGGGTGGAGCTTTAATTTTCAGGAAAATTTCAGGGGTAGACCTATATTCTTCAGGAGTAAACCCATGTTTTGTGGAAGTCCTCAATGGTGAATGCAATTTTATTTAATCTTCAGGGGTACGAAGACAAAGTTAGTCCTCAACCGGTTGGGTACGTATATTATAATGCAATGGCCTATTTCTTGCAAAGCCCTGACAGTTACATGACTGTGCACCCATAAGCATATATATTGTAAGTGAGATCAAAATATATAGGCAATTGGCACCCCCTGGTGGAGAGCTCCCTTGTGAGAAAGCAGGAATGCTTCCGAAAATAAATTCTAGCCCTTAGATATACAAACAATTATTTAGCCATTCAAAATTGCCAGCTGACTCGCTGGCATAAAATTGTCCATGTAAACAGATACGGAAAGAAACACGACTTTTGAGAAAAGAAACACAAAATGCCAATTAAATGCAAATTAATCCATACCAGCCACACAGAGAAAGCTTGCTTTCTTCTTTTTGCCAACTTTAGTCACGCTCACAACTGCATAAAGTCTCTCCTCGTTTGGTTTGAAGAGATCTCGCTGCAGATTGTGTTTGATGGCCGCCATTTTAGGACCACAACCACTTGTGCCCAGGTTTCCGGGTTGACGCTCATAAAATTCGAAAGAGACTGTAAACTTCCTGTTCATAAATTTTACACGGATTTTTAATTGAGTTTCAAATATTCTTTACGCATCATCCTTGTTTTGTGACCTTGTTCTATTAAATATTAATAAGCACAATTGCTAAATCCAAATCTAATTCTGAAATTTGAACTATCATCAAGCTAAATATTTGAACTTTATGAAATGCACAGTCAAGAGAAGTTAATTTGAAGTGCAAGAGACTAGCTATCATACTTCATAGATTTTTCTAAAAGGCAGTTCTATTTTTTTTCGAGGACGTCACGAAGGCCCTTCACCTTGGCAAAAATTTCATCACCAGGTTGCGTCTGCGACGATAACCTCCATATTTGGTAAACGACGCATTATCGACTGCCCAAGACAATGATCGCGCCACTCGTTTTCAGTCTCCGATAAAAGTCATTTCGGTTAAAGAGGAGAGGGACAACAGCGTGTGGACCAACACCAAAAAAAAAATTGTGATTTCAGATGGATTGGAAGGTTTCTGGCGTTTGGCATTTCTTTTGCCATGGCCGACACAGCTAGGAGGCAAGTATCTTGCGCGATCTTTTTTCAAAGTATTTTCAGATTAGGAAGTTGCTCGTCTTCGATCCACTGGGTCCTTTGTCGCATCATTGTGTTTTCCTTCGGCGCGGGCGTTCAGGATATGCGCGCGGATTTTTTATTTTTTTTACCCGTTTCTTTCTTGTCTTTTGTTCCGTTAATTTAACGAGCTGCTGTTTTTCTCACCTAGGAAAGGCACTGATCTGACGGTTAGAATGGCAGGAAAAGTAACTGCAGAGGGAAATCCGATTGTTGTTTCTTCGGGAAGTAGCTCGAAGACGACAGTCGGTTCACCAACTGGCGATGGAGTGCGCGATGTTCGCGACGACCGTAGTTGGAAAGCTTATGTTTCACAGATGGATTCTACCTTAGCAAATTCGCTACTGGTGAACGGAGAGGACTTAAGTATGGCGTCCAATCTTGGGTTTTTGTACGACTATTACGAAGTCACCGAGGAGTCAAACCCAGCACCCCCTTCTCCTTCTAATCAGGGGTACGTTTTTTTACGCCATGTTTGGTTTAGATAGTGACACAAATCCTGTGTAACTCATCGCAGTGTAAGGGACCGATCAGAACTGTTTATCGTTAGCCTTTTTTCATATCCCATGTGGTTAATAAAACCTGGCGAACCAAAGGGTGGATTGATGAATGTAAGCTTTTATGCTTGCTTTGATGTTAAGCTTATATAACATTTATAGAAGTCGCTGTAGGTTTTTTCCTCTGGATCATTAAAACCAGTAGTGTTTTGATGTGTCATAATCAACTGTACGCGTCGATGGATCATGTTTTGACAAATACTTTTTTGTTGTCAGGAAAAAGGTATTTACTTTGTGATCCGTACATTTATATTTTATGTCCCGCTTTGATTCAAGATGTTGGGCCAAGTTCATGTAGTTTTACTTTTTATTACATAATATTATATGCATAGGAACAGGAAGCACGCATCACGAGAGGCAAGTCTCAGTGACACTTACAGACTTAATATTTGCCTCTGGAGATGTTACAAAATATATTTAGTTAAAGTCTTCTCAAGGTCTATTGAGTTGGACCATGTGTGCATTTGTAGATGACTTAGGTTATCATTAGTTCAAACGTTGGAAAGCGCTTTCCCCCAGATAAAAATCTGTCCAGTGGATAACGCAATGATATTGGTCTCCCTAATACTTATCCGCTGGATAGTGATTTATCCGGTACATAGCGCTATCCAACGTTTGAACAATGGGGGCTAGGATGGTAAAGGACCGGAGACGTCAAAACCTTGTGTGACAAGCATGACAGTAATTATGTTTGAAAAAATGTTCTGTCAAACTTCCTTGTAACAAATCTTTTTGTAAAAGACCAGAACACAGTCATGTTAAGTGCATCCTTGGAGACCCAAGGGCAGTCAGTCGGGCTGGGAGAAAAGGTGCGACAAAAGTTTTCAAGCGCGGGTGGAAGAGCCCCTGGGTACTGACTCTCACCAGACCATTTCCAAAGGGTCAAGCGAATGCTGGCTCCTGATTGGGCACAAAAATGCTTTGTATTATTGTGCCCAATCAGCAAATAGCATCTCCAGAGTTATTTTCATGAGTTCGTACACGACAGCTATTGACTCGATCACGGCCTGTCTGGTTCATGCACCAAAGAAATGAATGTAGTCAGGAAACTTTCAGTTTGATATAAACTCCCCATTTTAAAGTACTGCCTACCCTAAAACTAAAACAAGAAAATGTACTTAAGTGTATTTTTATTACAACAGGTATTCACGATTACGTAAATATTAGGGAGTTTAAGATATGACGATAGCTGATGGCCTCAAAAATGTCGCTTGAAAAGTGAATTCGCGTTTTTTCAGTCTCTATCGTAATTATTCCAACATACTTACTTTGACCTGACTGACTGCCTCTAGGTCTCCGAGGATATGTTAAGAGAAGATCGCAGTGAAACACGCAACTAATAGCCCTGTCATGTTAGTTGCACACAGATTTTCTGCCTTTCTCTTCTTTCTACTGTCCTATTGGATAAGTAAACTACAGTGGTAGCTCTCTTAATGGACACTGTGGTAAACAGATTGGACAGTTCTACTTATGGCTGCGTTAACAAAACACTGTTATTCTCAACTCCCATACAAACTCTATATTTTTACATTCACCAGTTATGGACACTTTTTGCGTGTTCCAAGGGTGTCTGCTTACGAGAGCTCCCACTGCACAATTAAAGCAGACCTCTTGCATACACTAGCCTTGGGCTATAGGACATGACTTTCTTTGCGTGCGGCCGCTTTTTTTTGTTTATCTATACTGACCAAGAGCCTGGCACAGGCCACATTAAGGTTGCCCTCAAAGTACAAGGCAGATGAGGTAGTCTGCTTCCCAGAGGCTCATACAATCTATATTGGAACTGTATATTCCTATAGTACATCTGGGGGGAACGGTGGACAGGCAAATTCATCAGCTGGAAACAATCACTCTCAAGGAGCAAACAGTGATTCTGATTCTGGGAGTCCATCACAATCTGAGGTAAGCCATTAGAAATCAGCTTGGGAAGCTCTTCAGGTTCTTCCATGGGCCCAAACAAGAAGGTCACATCATGCTGATCACTGCATCCTATGCAAAGAGTGCAAACTAAGATTAGTCATGACAAGGGGCCATAAAAGAATAACTAAAGCTACAGTGTGCGGTGTGTATTTTTTCAAACCGTGTTAAAGGGGTTGTGTCACGGCAGTCCAGTTTATTTTGTTTAATTTTGCCAATTACTCGCCCTCAATTGCTATGGAACTTAAGGAGTAAGCAAAGAAATTACATGTAAATGACAAAATCAGAGATCTGAGACAAACAAATATGTCTCCTCAGCGTTATTTTTGAAGTTGCAAGAGGCAGGGATCAACTTTGAAAAACTTTTAGGCTGAACAGTTTTGCAAAAACCCTAATTTCAATCTGTTTCAATCTTCTTCCGTTTTGCCCATCCATGGCATCTGTTGTTTCTGTTATGTTATTTTAACCTTCCTGTAAAAATTTAAGCAGTTATTTTTATGTTTCTCTTAATTTAACGGGCGTTTTGTAATTTCCTAATTTGGCTGAATTTCGTGACACATTTCCTTATAATTTGACATCTTTCATAATGTTAACAAGGCTGTGCTCTAGTAACACCCGGTGGCCCATGGTGCCTAACTTTTGCTCCTGGGTGACTAGAAAATTTAAGAGTCAGTTATTTAAATGTGGCTAAATGTAATTTAGGCAAAGTTAACCTCGAAGCAATGCTGGTCAGCTGTTTCCCCAGCTATAGTAGGGGTGGCCCGATGCCTCTAGCAGAGGCACCTCGTGACTTATATACGCAGTTGCTTGCTTGCAGTTCTTCGCAAACTGTTGTCGCAATTGCTTGCTTTTTGCGTGCCAGTTTGTGCTTTGGTTTTTCCCATCCCTCCCTCCCTCTTGGCGTGGGCTAGGTAAGTATTGGGTCAGTAAGTATTCCACTGAATTGTTCAGTGTGACGGTGCCTGGTGGGGGCCACTCGCAGGGTTGCCATGGATACCTCCTCCTCATGCTAGAGCATTGCCCGGCTCCACCAACTTTGTAGGCCCAATGCCCAAGCTCATCTATTGGTGATGAGTTTAAATGATGTCTAACTTAGGCCGTGGCTTAGAAAATCTTTGGACCTCCAGATCTCATCCTTAGTAGTTTATTTTAAGAGAAATGTTTTTCTATTCTACGCCTTATGCCTTCAAGCAACTTTTCATGATAAATGGTGTTAAGATGAAAGCATAAGGTAAACTGAAAATGGCTTAGAACATGTTTTTGGTAAACACTGGCTAAAATAACTGGCCCTAAGTTTTTTCATAGAAGTAATACACAGGGCACCTTGGATTTCACAGTTTCAGAGCATTGGGCTCCCTTCAATTTTTCTTAGAGTGCAGCCCTGGTTAACTAACTGTCCCTGTTCATTCAATTATTTATTTATAAGCATTTACTATCTGCTTTCCTCAGCAAGCCACTCTTAGTTTTCTGCAAGCAGTACAGCAAATTAAAAGCCCAAAGCATAGGTAAGAGTTCAGAGGTTTCTTGTGTATTGTACTTGTGCAAAGGTCTAGCTAATGCTTGTCAATGTTGTCAACCTGGAACTAACATTAATAGCTGTTCTGTTGAGATGAGAGAAGCTTATTGGTAGTGAGCAAGCTCTCTGTTAGACAGCAATTAAACAAACAAGTGTTCAATGAACTGGCTCACATGCAAAACCCAGCAGGGAAATGTATAATGATAGATCATTCTTAGCTGTGTTTTTGAGTGACTGTCCATCTTTTGTTATTTCAGTGCATCATCAGTCCAAAGTGACCATGGCAACCACCATGTTACTCCTAAACAAGAAAAAATCCCGTCAAACATAAAGGTACTTAAATGTGTAATGTTTTATTATTTTTATTAGTGATGCGATAAAACTTTTCCTGGTTGTAGTTGTGCTTATTTTCATTGGTGTTTTGTACGTAGCATTTCACTTCTATTTGTTTTTTAAATTTTCTTTTCTTTAGGCCATTGCTATAGGGCAACAAATTAAAGTACAGCCAAGGTAAAATTATTTACACTATGTTAGTATTTGTTGTTGAGACTGTAGCAGAAGATTTTTATTTGTCTTAGGTGTGGTCAATTTGTTGTCAGTTTTGTGTAAATCTTCCGTTATTTTTGCTCAGTCACACATTAACATACATAGAAACAGAGGAAAACAAAAAATTGAACCAGTCATGAATAATTTGGACATCAACATTAACCACCCAAGATATTAGAGATCTTAAGATACACCGTTTTCATGCACGGGTATGGGTAAATTAACAGTATGCATAGCCATGAATTATATGGGTAGGTTGCCTGTTACCGCAGAGAAACGGTAGGCTACCAGGTAGAATGGTAACACCATTATCACATCTGAAAAATAATGGTTGCCTTTCATTTTACCATGTGGCAAAGATGGTTGCCTACCCGTACCCTTAGGCAGAAACGTTGCATCTTCAGGTCACTATTATCAAGGTAAAGAGTCCCACTCACACAGTAATGAGAAGAACTAACATGTTAGAAGGGAGGAAAATTAACGAAACTGCATCTATAACATACTGTATTCAAATCACTTGAGATTGACTAGCCTAAGAAAACAGCCAACATTTTGCAACTTCACCACTGGTTTCCATGCAAAATGACATCTGAGGAACAAACGCAGAAATTCCATACTGATGAGGTGTCACTACCCAGGAGCACATTTTGGTGGGTTTAACTTGCCACCCCAATGCTCCTGCTTCACTGTTAAAAATCGTGTGCTATTTTTTCACTCTTTTTTTTTCAACAGTACGTCTAGTTGTAGTCATGCACCCATTTCCATTGGACGTCCGTCTTCGTACCCACCTTCCACAAAAGGAAACCCACAAGTTAGTGATGTGTCGCCACTTTCTCTCAGTACCACACCTCCCGAGGTTAGTATTGGTATACACCAGGAGCCAATAACCTCTACAGTAGCAATAAATTTCCAAGTACTTGTGAGACTCTGCATGGGTATTTCCAAGGAAATCAAAGTCCAAGTGATCATTGTTGATGAGAGGATGATCATAGATATTACGCCAACAATTGCATTGCCTGTCTGATCAAGTTTGACAATGTTAATGATGTGCGACGACAGCAAAGAAATGTACAAAAAGTGTGCTGCACATTCAAAGTATTTGTTTTGCTATTAAATCAGTTACTTTCTTTATATTCTTGTTTTCATGATCATCATGACATTGTGGTTGTGCAGGCTCACTAGTAGCAGTCAATCTACCACATATAACAATAAATTTTTGGTATTCAACAACTTTGTAGAAAAACCAATGATTTGATGGAAAATGCCAGGTCTCCTTAGAGAGGTTCACCTGTGTCACGGCATAATCACCAACCATTTTTGTTAGAATGATTTTGGTCCAAATTTAGAACATGTGTTAGGTCTCACAAACCTGTCAGCAAAACATACAGGCCTGAAAATGGTATTTGTTTGACCTTTTAATGGCTGTAAGTTTTCCTTTGTGATATCTTTTACTTGCAATGCACTCATAGAGAGAGCAGAGCTTCAATTTCTGAGGGAAAAAGTGCTCTAAAATGAATGAAAAAAGAAAGTGATCGTAAAAATGCCATAACATCAGCTTAGTATGGGAGTTGCTCTCTCTTGGTCATTATGTGCTCTTCGTACATACGGTGTACTAGAAACTTATCAATATTGGTGACAAATTGAATGTCATCCACTTTTACCAATTTTCCAACCACCAGTTGCATTGTTTGTTTGTAAGTTTATCCTAGAATTCTTTGTGATGTTTGTTCATTTTTTGTTTACAGGCTTTTAACTTCTCTCCGTACACCCAATCGCTGAAATCCACACCTACAGTTTTCTCAGCTCAAGACAAGTATGTGTGACTCCTATCATTGTGTTTTCTAATTCTCCTTTCCTAGTTGCTCCTGGAATCATTTTTACTCAAACTTTAGGATAATTACTGGGCTTACTTTTAAGAGACATATATATTTTTAACCTTGCAAAAAGAGGTCAAATTAATATGCTTAATGAGTGAACAGCCACTACATCGTATAGCTATATACTGCAAATATTATTTGCTCACTCATAAGCAAGAACTTTTTGAAAAAGACATTTGAGTGCATAAAATACATAGTTACTATGAATGACATTATCCCGGTACCTTGATTTAGGTATACGTTCATACTCGAAGCTCCTACGTCTATAATTCAAAGAAGAGGGGATGACACTCTAACATATCTAAACAAAGGTATGGCTTGATCAGAATGCTTATAATGTTCATTAACCTTACAGAGTTTTTATTTACCCTCTTAACTCCTTGTTCAGTGTTATGCTTAACTTTTTTCTTTGAATTTGTTTAACTATTATATTTTCTCTCTTGTTTAGGACAATTTTATGCCATAGGTTTTGAGGGAAATGTAGATCCTCCTTCCACAGATGGTGAAATTCAGAGAGTCAAGGTACAACATTGTTGTTCCACAAGAAGCTTAGAATTTTTTTTCAAGTTTTTGGAAGCTACAGTAATGAAGAGAATTCAGTAAATGAAAAAAAAAGTAGATGTAACTTATAGTAAGAGAATAAATTAATGTCAATTTATTATTGTTAGCGTTTTGTATTCTATACAACACAGGTGTGTTATGGAGTCTCTAAATCTGTACAGTGCACCAAGCAAAATCAAAAATGACCTGAAATGGCCTTGCAAAATCACCTTTGTTTGTCCATCATATTGGTCTCATACTGTTATAGTTCTGACTGATTGCAGTGTCTGAAGTTAAAAAGTTTCAAGACTGCATTGACCACATAATTTTTCTTTTACATTCCCACAGTCATATGTTCACTTGGTTTTCCGAGACGAGAAAGATCCAAGAACAGAGTGTGAACACTGGCAATACTGGCACAGTCAGCAACCAAATCCTCAACAGCGCGCATTAATACACAGGGCACCTTGGATTTCACAGTTTCAGAGCATTGGGCTCCCTTCAATTTTTCTTAGAGTGCAGCCCTGGTTAACTAACTGTCCCTGTTCATTCAATTATTTATTTATAAGCATTTACTATCTGCTTTCCTCAGCAAGCCACTCTTAGTTTTCTGCAAGCAGTACAGCAAATTAAAAGCCCAAAGCATAGGTAAGAGTTCAGAGGTTTCTTGTGTATTGTACTTGTGCAAAGGTCTAGCTAATGCTTGTCAATGTTGTCAACCTGGAACTAACATTAATAGCTGTTCTGTTGAGATGAGAGAAGCTTATTGGTAGTGAGCAAGCTCTCTGTTAGACAGCAATTAAACAAACAAGTGTTCAATGAACTGGCTCACATGCAAAACCCAGCAGGGAAATGTATAATGATAGATCATTCTTAGCTGTGTTTTTGAGTGACTGTCCATCTTTTGTTATTTCAGTGCATCATCAGTCCAAAGTGACCATGGCAACCACCATGTTACTCCTAAACAAGAAAAAATCCCGTCAAACATAAAGGTACTTAAATGTGTAATGTTTTATTGTTTTTATTAGTGATGCGATAAAACTTTTCCTGGTTGTAGTTGTGCTTATTTTCATTGGTGTTTTGTACGTAGCATTTCACTTCTATTTGTTTTTTAAATTTTCTTTTCTTTAGGCCATTGCTATAGGGCAACAAATTAAAGTACAGCCAAGGTAAAATTATTTACACTATGTTAGTATTTGTTGTTGAGACTGTAGCAGAAGATTTTTATTTGTCTTAGGTGTGGTCAATTTGTTGTCAGTTTTGTGTAAATCTTCCGTTATTTTTGCTCAGTCACACATTAACATACATAGAAACAGAGGAAAACAAAAAATTGAACCAGTCATGAATAATTTGGACATCAACATTAACCACCCAAGATATTAGAGATCTTAAGATACACCGTTTTCATGCACGGGTATGGGTAAATTAACAGTATGCATAGCCATGAATTATATGGGTAGGTTGCCTGTTACCGCAGAGAAACGGTAGGCTACCAGGTAGAATGGTAACACCATTATCACATCTGAAAAATAATGGTTGCCTTTCATTTTACCATGTGGCAAAGATGGTTGCCTACCCGTACCCTTAGGCAGAAACGTTGCATCTTCAGGTCACTATTATCAAGGTAAAGAGTCCCACTCACACAGTAATGAGAAGAACTAACATGTTAGAAGGGAGGAAAATTAACGAAACTGCATCTATAACATACTGTATTCAAATCACTTGAGATTGACTAGCCTAAGAAAACAGCCAACATTTTGCAACTTCACCACTGGTTTCCATGCAAAATGACATCTGAGGAACAAACGCAGAAATTCCATACTGATGAGGTGTCACTACCCAGGAGCACATTTTGGTGGGTTTAACTTGCCACCCCAATGCTCCTGCTTCACTGTTAAAAATCGTGTGCTATTTTTTCACTCTTTTTTTTTCAACAGTACGTCTAGTTGTAGTCATGCACCCATTTCCATTGGACGTCCGTCTTCGTACCCACCTTCCACAAAAGGAAACCCACAAGTTAGTGATGTGTCGCCACTTTCTCTCAGTACCACACCTCCCGAGGTTAGTATTGGTATACACCAGGAGCCAATAACCTCTACAGTAGCAATAAATTTCCAAGTACTTGTGAGACTCTGCATGGGTATTTCCAAGGAAATCAAAGTCCAAGTGATCATTGTTGATGAGAGGATGATCATAGATATTACGCCAACAATTGCATTGCCTGTCTGATCAAGTTTGACAATGTTAATGATGTGCGACGACAGCAAAGAAATGTACAAAAAGTGTGCTGCACATTCAAAGTATTTGTTTTGCTATTAAATCAGTTACTTTCTTTATATTCTTGTTTTCATGATCATCATGACATTGTGGTTGTGCAGGCTCACTAGTAGCAGTCAATCTACCACATATAACAATAAATTTTTGGTATTCAACAACTTTGTAGAAAAACCAATGATTTGATGGAAAATGCCAGGTCTCCTTAGAGAGGTTCACCTGTGTCACGGCATAATCACCAACCATTTTTGTTAGAATGATTTTGGTCCAAATTTAGAACATGTGTTAGGTCTCACAAACCTGTCAGCAAAACATACAGGCCTGAAAATGGTATTTGTTTGACCTTTTAATGGCTGTAAGTTTTCCTTTGTGATATCTTTTACTTGCAATGCACTCATAGAGAGAGCAGAGCTTCAATTTCTGAGGGAAAAAGTGCTCTAAAATGAATGAAAAAAGAAAGTGATCGTAAAAATGCCATAACATCAGCTTAGTATGGGAGTTGCTCTCTCTTGGTCATTATGTGCTCTTCGTACATACGGTGTACTAGAAACTTATCAATATTGGTGACAAATTGAATGTCATCCACTTTTACCAATTTTCCAACCACCAGTTGCATTGTTTGTTTGTAAGTTTATCCTAGAATTCTTTGTGATGTTTGTTCATTTTTTGTTTACAGGCTTTTAACTTCTCTCCGTACACCCAATCGCTGAAATCCACACCTACAGTTTTCTCAGCTCAAGACAAGTATGTGTGACTCCTATCATTGTGTTTTCTAATTCTCCTTTCCTAGTTGCTCCTGGAATCATTTTTACTCAAACTTTAGGATAATTACTGGGCTTACTTTTAAGAGACATATATATTTTTAACCTTGCAAAAAGAGGTCAAATTAATATGCTTAATGAGTGAACAGCCACTACATCGTATAGCTATATACTGCAAATATTATTTGCTCACTCATAAGCAAGAACTTTTTGAAAAAGACATTTGAGTGCATAAAATACATAGTTACTATGAATGACATTATCCCGGTACCTTGATTTAGGTATACGTTCATACTCGAAGCTCCTACGTCTATAATTCAAAGAAGAGGGGATGACACTCTAACATATCTAAACAAAGGTATGGCTTGATCAGAATGCTTATAATGTTCATTAACCTTACAGAGTTTTTATTTACCCTCTTAACTCCTTGTTCAGTGTTATGCTTAACTTTTTTCTTTGAATTTGTTTAACTATTATATTTTCTCTCTTGTTTAGGACAATTTTATGCCATAGGTTTTGAGGGAAATGTAGATCCTCCTTCCACAGATGGTGAAATTCAGAGAGTCAAGGTACAACATTGTTGTTCCACAAGAAGCTTAGAATTTTTTTTCAAGTTTTTGGAAGCTACAGTAATGAAGAGAATTCAGTAAATGAAAAAAAAAGTAGATGTAACTTATAGTAAGAGAATAAATTAATGTCAATTTATTATTGTTAGCGTTTTGTATTCTATACAACACAGGTGTGTTATGGAGTCTCTAAATCTGTACAGTGCACCAAGCAAAATCAAAAATGACCTGAAATGGCCTTGCAAAATCACCTTTGTTTGTCCATCATATTGGTCTCATACTGTTATAGTTCTGACTGATTGCAGTGTCTGAAGTTAAAAAGTTTCAAGACTGCATTGACCACATAATTTTTCTTTTACATTCCCACAGTCATATGTTCACTTGGTTTTCCGAGACGAGAAAGATCCAAGAACAGAGTGTGAACACTGGCAATACTGGCACAGTCAGCAACCAAATCCTCAACAGCGCGCATTTGATATTGGTAAGATAATGCTAGAAATACATATCTCGCAAACCCTTGCAGTGTCCTCTGTAAAACATTGTTGCCTTGGAGGTGTAATGCCAAAAGCATTTCTTGATCACCGAAATGGTCACAAAAACAGTCACAACAATGGCCAGCAAGTTTGTCCCTTGATGAAATTATAGTGGACACTGAGAGATATATCAAAATATATATGGGCCAAGTTTGCATACTGCTTTAATCCATGTGCTGCACATACAACAAATTTATGAACCTTTGCTTGTCAAAGAAATATTCTCTTGCCCTGAATCAAATGAGACAGTAGTGTCATTTTCATATTGTGTAAAACCTTGCATGTAACAATCTTTAAATTATTTGTTATTGCATCTTATTACTCGTGAATATCAGAAATAATTATCCTTTTCAATAGTTTTTTTTCTGCATGAGTTGTCATTAAGGTCGCTTCATTCCTTATCTGGATATGTTGTCATGTGACAAATGACTGATTAATGTCCATTATCTTGTTATAATTTGTAACCTAGTTAACTGTTTTACTACCTGACTTGAAATTCCTCCTTCAGATCGAAAGTCATGCCAGAATATTGAAGAAAATATAGACGAGATATCTTACAATGCTGCTGGGTTTACATGGAGCCCTCACCTGAATGCAAAGATAGTAATCAGAATCAACTGCTTGAGTACAGATTTCTCCTCACAGAAGGGTGTCAAGGTTAGAAATTCACCTTTTGATTTGTTTTTTTGTCATTTTGAGGTTCATTGTAATGTCGCATACCTGGGTTGGTATACATTGTAAAAGCAATAAAGTTACAAATACACTGAAACCTGTATGAAGCAGACACGTGCACAAACCTTTGCTAGTGTATATGTTAGTTGTAGTTTTTCAAATCGCTGTACCTAACTAACAGTATGGATCCATGCACCATTTCATCATAACCAATTCCACGTTAATTTTTCTCTTTGAGCAACAAGTGAAATGTTTCCAATGCATAGATCTACATCTAACGAAGACAGAACTTTGAGTTTCCATTCCACTAAAAGTCCTTTAGTTATAGCTCCAAAATAGGATATCATAGCGTAATATGTCAATTTGCTGACAGTTTAATACACCATGATATTTGCGCATCCTTTTATATTTCCAGCAGGTTAAATAATGTCAAAGTCCAACAATCATGTGTCATTGAATGATAGCATAATTAATTATGTACTTTGTAGTGTCCACTTGTCAATCAAGGCTCTTCTAGTTACATACACTATGCTGAAATGGGGCTTACAAGGCTAGTTTTTTCTGAGTAATAATAGTTGTGCATTGTTTTCTTGGTAGGGCATCCCTCTTCATCTCCAGATTGACACTTATGAAGACATAAACAACCCTGATGCTGAACCAATTCACAGGGCTTTCTGTCAGATTAAAGTATTTCGAGACAAAGTAAGTACTGAAAACAGAGATGCCAACCTCTGGAGATCTGAAATCTGGACAATTTCCCTTTTGAATGTGGCTAAAGACTAAACTAATGCACAGAAAAGTACAAAAGTCAACTTTATCCGTGAGGTTAATAACAATAATAATAATAATATATACTAATAATAATAAAACTTTTTTTATTGAGGGTAGCACTTAAGGTATCAGCCACCCTTAAAATTGCCATTTTTCCATATTTGAGGTTTCAACGTTTTCAAATAGATATGCGTGAGAGCTTTCTTTTAAAAAAAAATCAGAAGCAAATATTATTTCTGTCGAAAGATATCGGGGGTAAAAGATTTTTTCTCGTTAATTATCTTAATTGATCGTTAACAAGATCTGTCATACCCGTGTCATATATCAATTAACTTGCCTGTGAACTAGTAACGTGATACCGAGTGCGTGCTTCGACACAACACGTGCGAATTGTCTTCGCGTTGTTTATAGCCTTTAGTATTCTCCGTGGATATTTAGCGTTTGTTTCGGTGAAAATGCCGCCAAAAAAAAGAAAAGGTCGTGCCCGTTTTCGTCATCGAAACCGAGAACGAAAAAGAAATCGAGGAGCGAGTTTGACAAAGAATGGGCCGCAAAATTGGCAGAGAGCGACAAAGGCTCATTTTATCAGCAAGAGAAGTGGCTCGAGGAGTTGGATATTCAGAAAAGCGAAAATGCTGCAGTTGCTGAGAGTGCAAGCCGCTCCAAAATCCAGCTTGAACAACCAGATGAAGAAAGCCAATTAAGCTCATCGACCCCATCTGCTGATGGAACGTGGAAAACAATAAGCGGTCGAGCTATCGTATTGAGCGAAAAGCTGCTTGAGAAACTGGACGAGTCTGTATCTTGTCGATTTTGCCAGGGAAGAGTCCAAGTCATGGAAAATGTAGCGACTAAGCATGGACTTGGTTCTACCTGGAGAATCCAGTGCGAGAATGAAAGCTGGCCGTCGCACAAGACAAATTCTGTTTTTAATTCTTCCGAGAAGAGCAGAGCGTTTGAAAAACCGGGCCTCAGTTCTTGGCCTTCGAGCAATCGGTGGTGGGCATTCGGCGTCTTCAAAGTTTTTTAGTTTCCTTGGCCTGGCGCTCGAGAAAGAATTAAACCGTGCTTCTCGTGGTGTAAAAGAGTGGAAGTTTTCCAACGGAGAATTAAACTGTTCACTTGAAGATGTTGATAGCAATAAAAAGTTTGTTCCTGTTACATGTTACCTGTCAAAGTCCTATTGTTAGAGAAAATTGATCCCTCTCTGATATCAATCAGAATAAACATTTAGGTGTTATAATCTCATTCCAGGTAGGATGCCGCCAAAAATGTATTTTCTATTTTATCTCAGAACGCAAATTTTGCTGATCGACTCGTACGTTTTGAACTCCAAGTCGGCAGCCTTTCAATCAATTTGGCTAAAATTTGGCCAGAGTGTTGCCATATATCTCTTCTACAAAACCGTGTCTGCGAATTTAATACTCCTTTTCATTTTAAAGCTAGAGCTTTTTTTACACAGAGAGTGTTGACTAATTGCCTTCCCCAACTTCATTTGCTAATAAAAGAAAAACAAACGCACTTGTCAAAAATCTGAGACACGGTTTTTTAGTGGAACATGTTGAGAAGCGAATGTGGTGTTAATTGTTTTCTTCCGTTTATTTCCGACGGGAGTGGAACATGATTTATAGAGACGTGTACTTTTACACAAAGCGTTCCAATTTCGAAACACATTTAAGTAAATCGTTTTTGTTAGTTCAAATCCATAATCTGGAATTATGAAGCTTTTAAAATATATGGTTTATAGGGGTTTTTATAAAAACAACTAACTCTACAGCGATCCGCGCGCGGACTGTCCTGAAGGGTGGCTGATACCTTAATATCTCGCGATAATCAAAACATCATCGCCCTTAGAATAAATAAATAAATAATAAAATAAAATAAAAAATGCAATAATCTACCAAAAAGCTATGATTAACTAAGGAACTAACTAAGAAATTGCTAAGGATTGTTCATTACAATTTGCAAACTTCAATTCGCTTAAGTTTGTTTTTGAAAGATGTCAAGGTAGAGCAGTCTTAAAACTCCTCAGGAAGTCTGTTCCACAAGCTTGCAGCACCGAACATAAATGACCACTGTCTGTAGGTTTGGCGACCCATATGGGAGTGGAACATCTGGGCTCTTTACAGGAGGATCCTGGTTAATCTGGGAGAGTTGGCATAAAATGTATTAAGTTATCATCAAATAACAACATACTCATTGAGAATAAGGTACATTTTTGTGTCCATGTAAAAATGCTGCTGTTATTCTTACAGGGTGCAGAACGAAAGAACAAAGATGAGTCAAAAAGTGCAGAAAAGAGAATTCAGAAATGGGTGAAACAAAATACATCTGCTTGTGCTGGTGAGTGTTTATCTGAGAGTTTTTATTTTCCATGCCAATGCTTGATCAAGCTGTAACCAATGCTTCACTGGTTGGCGTCTTTGTTTTTAATTGTGGTGTGTTTTACATGTAAGTGTTTTGTTGTGTCATCCTGCATTTTAAGGAATTGCAGTTTTTGAACACTTGTTGCCACTTTATTAATTTGGTGTCAAAAGTTCCCTCTTTATAATAATTGAATGATATCTTTTCAGATCCCAACATGGTTTCACCTACAACTCTGTTTCATCCTCCAAGTAAATACACCCAGCTTCAAACAACAACCCCATTAGGACCCAAGCCAGTTCTGTTTACACCAGCTGTACACAATGTACATGTGAGTAAATTTACAGAATGGTACACTGTAGATCTTGAACCAGTAACCGAAGACATTTGATCATGGCAATGAAAACTTTAGACAGGTGGCGCAAAGGAAATTGTACAAAAGTGATTATGACACACTCAGATTTAATGATCTGTGTGATCCATGTCAGAGTGACAAATTGATCACCAAAACTTAGGTATAGTCCTTTCTGCATTTTTTCGCATGAATTCTCATTTGACATTTTATTGCCTTTGCTAAATAGGCCTAGGTATTTGTGCCACGTTGTAGCTGACAGTGCTGTGAAATTATGTATAATATGCAAAAATTATACAAAGTGCATTCAAAGTATGAAATGGAATGAAGAAATGATTCTTGCATCTATAAATGTAACAGGATGTCAACAGGATTCAATCATTCATTCGCGATCATTGTATTAGTAATATTACTTTTAATCCCAAGACTTTGAATCAGTTTACTTGTAGTACTGATTTTCAATTTATGTCGTCACCTTCTTCCTCATCGCCTTTTCCTCTTTGCTTACAGGGAGGATTTGAAGAATCATCTCTGCAGACTTTGTCCCTTCTGGCATCAATTAAGTAAGTGTTTTCTCGTGAATATGAATACCGGTAGCTTTTGAGTTACTTATGGACAATATTATTGCTTAGTATGTCAATTACTAGAGTTGTGACAATGTCGTGTTGCCTAATTTAGGGATCGAGAAAATAAAAGGACACTGCAATCACATCTTGTCATGGCAAAGGTATTTTGAGAACTTGTAAATTATGTCTCTTCCTACAAGTAGTGTTATATGATATTTTGAAGTTTCTTAATATGCCTGTTATTCCCTTCACTTCGCAGGATGAGCTTGCTGATTTAGAGGTTGTTCCCAGGGTAAAAGTTCAGAAAATCCACAGACCCAATAGACCAGGTTAGAGACAAAATATTTCTTGTGCCAAAGTGTTTCACTTCTCTCAGGAAAAATGTATTGAGAAAAAACAGGGTGCAAAGAAAGTCAAATGCAATGTGACACTTGTTTCTGCCGATGTCACTTCTGTTAGATCAACTTGCAAAACAGCTTTCCGTCCACGTGAAATTATTAGGAATGTCAATTTTTCTGACAGTTCTTAATATGTAATTTAATTTCCAAGAAAACTTACTGGCTGGTGGGTGGAATTCACTAGCCTGGTTATAAGATCCACTAGAGTCGGGCTATCGGGCACGACTTTCTGGTTATTCCTGCATGCAGAATAACCATCCATATAAAAATCCCAGTAGCACTGGACATCCTAGTACTAAAAAATCTAACTCTGGTGTTTCATTCCTTCCACAGCTGTTACCATCTATGTGAAGAAAGAAGAAGAAAAAGTGTACAATGCATTGATGCTGGACAGCTTGACAGTCGGCGATATGGTTGAGGCAGTATGTTCTTTTTTCTTATCATACCCAATATTCATTGCAAACATCAGTAAATATTTATACTTGTCCCTGTTTTCTGCTTCTTATCTATATTTTGGTCTTCTGAGTGATTGTTGTTGGCGCTGATCGAGTAAGAACATTTTCAATTTTTTTTTCTTTTTAGGTTGCTAGTAAATATGGCATGCCACCTGAAATGATCAAGAATGTGTATAAAAAGACAAAGAAGGGGTAAGCTATTAAGCAGTGATGCCAATGCACGTTTTCTTTATTGTTCCCCATAAATTTCTTTTGACCCTTGTTTTGAGAACTTGCATACATGTATGCTTATATAATACAGTCATTGTAAAAAGTACAAAATGTAGTTATATCCACTGAAATGTCAATTGAATTTTAATAACACCTTTAAAAAATTGAAAAGCTGACATCTTAAGCTTGCGTTTGGTTGCAAATTTTTGCGTTTCAGTCATTCCCCCATTAACACAGTACCTATTTATACATCTATATCATGACGAAAAATGGACATTAAATCCTAGGATTTTTATGATCAGTGCATTTCTACCATTTACAGTGTTTCAATAATAATTATGCTTATCATGTTATCCAGAAAGAAAACAAAAAAAGAATTATAAATGCATTTGTGTTTGAAATATTCACCTTAGTTTTTTCCCTTTCTTTCAGTATCCTTGTGAACATGGATGATCGAATGATTGAACAGTTTGTCGACGAAGATGATTTCATCATAAACTTGGATTTTGACAATCAGCTTGGGCATTTTGAGTTAACTCTTCAGTATTGAAATCACCCCATACCATCAAAAGCCAAAAACTATATTATATATAAATATTTTTTTCTTTGCTCCAACATTCTTAATGTATTCTTTCTTTCAATCTTTAAGCTTTACACGTGTGAAGTGAAAGTATAACATGTAGGATTATTACCGGTACGTTATTTAATATCTTCTTGGCATATGGGAACCTGTAAAACCCCACTTCTTCAAGTTAACCCTTTTAAAACATACAGGAAAAATGCTTTATTTCTCTTTTGTAAAGTATTGAAAGACAAATAGTGTCATGTCAAAGTACTGCTGAAGAAGTCTCATTTGAATGGTCACACCAGTCCACAAACATAAAGTTAGAACCACATACAAAACAATTGACCGTGTAAAAGTACTGTTACATTATAAGGTTTTATTGGACTGGTCTCGTGATAGGGATTAAGTCCAGAGTCAAATGTTATAGCTACAGTATGTACAAAACAAATAATTAATAGTATCATGTTAAAGTACAGCTTAAGGTGTTTCATTTGAATGGCTACACTGTAGGATGTCATCTACAGACTCAGAAGTTAGAGCAACTCACAAAACAGACAGTGCTATGTGAAAGTACTGCCAGAGGTTCTATTTTAAAAAAGGCCACATGACAGAATTTCATCCTCAAACTCAAAAGTTACACAAAAAAGGATGTAACCATTATTATTATTATTATTGTTATTATTATTATTATTATTATTATTATTATTACTATTATTATTATTATTATTATTATTATTGCAGTTCGAACGTCTGGATACCCAGAGTAAAATTATTATTATTATTATTAGCTTTGGAGAGTGAGAGGATTAAGTAACGTAAAAAAATTCATTTTTACACTAAAAAGATATAGGTAACAGTAACATTATGATAGCTTAGTCTCAAAGTGACCATTCATCATGAGGTCATAAAATCACATAGTAATTTCATAAAAAACAAACTTGTGTCTTGTATCAAACAGTACCACAGGGCAGTATTGCTAAAGAGACTTTTCATGTGAACAGCAATGTACCAATCCATACTATATGAAAATACTAAAGGAGAAACTTCCATTCATTTTATATTCCATTTGTCACACTTCAGAATTTGAGCTTAAAATTAAAAAGCTCCTTTACTATATTAAAGCTAAACCTAACATACAGATTGTAGATTTGAAACAGTTTTTCAGACTGGCATCAAACATGCTCTCCTCACTCATCAGCTTCCAGGTAAAAGGAAAAATGGCTGATGCAGATTGTAAAAGCAGTCTGGCAGAAGAGTAGATCAAAACTTGTATTTTATTATAACGGTTGGTTACCATTGATAGAGAAGTTTTATAATGCAGTTTTGCTGGGAAAGATTTAGATTCTATTAAGGTCTTCTTGTCTCGTTGTGACGAAGTTTTGTTAAGAAGTTAGGGTAGCTCCTTTGGTATGCATACATTAAAAGTGCCAACGTTTTGCAATAAATTGTATTGAGATTAACATTGTAGAATGTTGATAGTTTGAACCTTGAATGGTTTTTATTTTACCCCTGGAATAAACTGAGCTATTCATCCACCCAACATTAGCCTGTGTGGAGTGAAGCGACAACTGAAGTTCACAGGCTGGGTAACATAGGGTCCACTTAATACAGACTTTGCTGTATATAATAAATTTATACACCATTGAAATACCAGGTGAGCTTCTGTGAGAAAACATGATATCTTCACATGTGAAAATAACTTGTTTATCTTCACTCATGAAAAGATAACCATTGCTATAGTTACATAAAAAGTCATGTCTATTGCAGCAAAAAATATATATTTTGTTTTTTATAAGTATTTAAAAAATAAAAGAACATTACATGGTTGCTTAGAGATATGACATTTCTTTTCATGTTGAAAAATATTTGACTTATTCGCTTCACTCATTTTTTAAATTTTTTTCATGGCTTGAAGAGAAATTGTGTCTCCCCTCAGCTATGTAGTAAGTAACTAGTCAATTAATGAGGAGGGTCCATCATAGAAGAGGATAAGCGTGATTCACATAATTATTAGGGGCTCTACATCTAACCCAAGTGCTTCCCTAGTAAATAATTAATGAGTAGAAACAACTTAGAGACGACTGGGGACGAGTCAGTTTTTAACCCATTAAAATCCTCACAAGGGCTTCAAGGTTGGAAACAGTGTAATGTAACACAATTCGCAAATGTTAAAACAACCAATGACAAACAACTAATGTGCATATACCATAACCAGTTTTGACAGCAAATCTTCCTATTTTTGAATACCTAAGAAAATTCCTGAACAAATTACACTACCCAAAAATGAAGCCAAAATCTTCTCTCTAAAAAATTGTTTGCACCATCCGGTCACCATATCCCAGGCATACCCCCCACTTGGCTTGCCAGATTTTATTTTCAGAAAAATTAACATCCAAGATCAATTGTTTCCATTCTTTATTTTTTTACACCAATGTTATACTTTATACTCAAAGATCAACTGCTGAAACAAACTTAAGCTTTAATAATGCATAGTTGGGCTTGGAAGACCAAAGCCGACTATCAGCAAGAAACGTCGAGCATGCAAAGAATGTGATTACGTAACACAAATTTAAAATTGTATGGTGATTTTTTGCAAAAAAGTTAGGCTTTATGCCAAAAAATCCTTTTGAATAAATGTCACAAATAAATGAATTATACAAGTAATTATGCACGTTTAACAATGGATTTGAAGTCACAGAAAAACATGATCAACCATCAAGTCACACAATTCATTTGCTTGGAGATGTTTATGCAATTTAAATCAAGTACACTGTAGCAGCTATCAGTAAAATTAATGCGCTGAAGCCTGAGGCTAGCTTGGATGCTGAAGACCTTGTCAAAATTATCTCTCTAGCTCTTTTCTCAGCAACCTTTCTGTTGATGTTTGTTGTACCATTTGGCCACAGAGTCATGCAATCTTCACCTTTGACGCCTTCGGTGTATTTCCACGAGTAGTTAAACAGCCTATTGCAGAACGTTTTCGCATCACCATAGTATTCTTTGAAGGTCTTGCATGGCTTCTTACACATGTTTCCTTGCTTCGTCCAGTTCCAAGTTTTCTGATCCCCCCAGTTATCCGAGCAGGTGGAGTCATCTTTGCAAGCTTCGAACCACGCATCACAATCTTCGCTGCACATAGGAACATTTTGAAAGCGTTCCTTTCGCGTTACCTTCGACACAGTGTCACGCGCAATCCAGGGGTTCATGTATGGAGAGCATTCATACATGCATGTATCCACTTCGAAGAATCGGCGGCACTTCGGTGACATGGTTGTGTTACACTGATCCCAATGCATGCGGTACAGAGAGAACACGCCGTCTTTTTTGATATTAAACGTCGTGTTCGCCGTGCAGCACGCGTGGTTCTTCCACGGCGTGCAGTGGAAAGTCTGATTAAACACATCAGCTTCGGGCCCTGGTTTCTCTTTATGGTGCTTCGAGTCGATGCAGACATCCAAAAACTCTTCAATCTCACTGTCTGTTACGGCCAACGATGAAGTGATCGCACAGAGAAGCCCCAGTAACACGTACAGCTTCGCCATCGTAGATTGATCACTTGCTATTAAACCACGTGCTAAACAAACGAGAACAAAATTAGTATGATGCAATCAATGATGTCAAAATGCACGGACCTATGTACTGACAATTCTATAAAACGTAAGAGCGATGTAGAATTAAGTTGTTTTTTTTTTAACATTGTCGGAAATAAACTCACCAACTCCTAAACATGCCATAGAAGAACTGCCTGATCATGTACTCTGCCTTCTGCTTTCAATCTTTGGAGATTTCGGCTCCACCAATCAGCGTTTACCTGTTTACCAATCACAGGTTGCAGTAATTCTCGCGGGAATTTAGAAGAAAAGCATAAACAAATGACTTTATAATAAACCTTCTTAAATTCCATTTCCTCCTCTGAAAAAAATACGGTTTATTTCCGAGTATATATAAACAAATGCTGTTATTCGGTTAACAAGCTTTGACTGCCCTGGAACATTTTCGAATTTCACCGTAAACAAAGAATCCCGTCAAGCGGGTGCAAAACACCCTCTGTCAGCACCCTACGATTTTGGCTAAAACTGAGTATAGGGGGCACTGCATTAAGGGAAATCAGGAGGGGAAAATACTCTCTTGACAGGTGCCGTATATGTTGCGTGAGTTTCAAGTAATTTCGCCTGGATAGGGTATGAAAAATCAGATGATATTCGCCTAGTTAAGCGTGTCATTTCTCTGCGAGGCAAGGTTTATTTTTGGCATGGTTTTAGCATTTGTCAAGTCGCTCGCGTCGCTAACAAGGTTGCCTGCGTGCAGACGTTTCCTATTTCCCTTGTTGCACGCGGAAAAGGTCCCTTTTCCGCGTGCAACAAAGCAAATAGGAAACGTCTGCCCGAAGGCAATAACAAGCTACTACGCGAAACTAGGGGACTCCGCATATGTTAGAAAGGTGCCCGAAAGAAACGAAGGTGTAGGGTGTCGTGCCCCCCCCGGTTCCCCGTCCCAGGCATGCCCGTTTATGGGAAACTGATCAGTGGTATGAAGATTGGGAGTTTCTGGTTAATCTAGGATAGCGTAGGCATTTTTTGGTCCTTAGGCTTACAGTAACAGGTCTAAAATATAGTAGAAATAAAAGGTGATCGAATAAGTTACGGTCAAGAGCCCCACAGTCCCAGCGGCACGTCCCCTCCCAAATTACTCAGCCGATTTCGCGATTCCCCCGTGGATTGTACTACATAACGAATGACTGATATAGTCCAGCGAAACACTGGAATAACTGGTGCTGCAAAAAATATATACATATTGCCGCTAACAATCGAACCTCTCCTCTTAATGGGCAGTGTTTCAGTTAGAAATATATCAAAAATGAGTTATGACTCTTGTCCCTACTCATGTATGGACACTTCTGTAATTCGGACAATGGAGGGGAGAAGTGTGACGTCACGTCACAATCGTAGCCAAATTTCTGGATCTCAACAATCTTGCTTGACAGAGATGACTCAGAGATGGCCATTTGCATTGTCAAACGATGAGAGAAAAGTCACGGGCTTCCGTTTTGTTCCTGATTGAAACCATCGAGCCTGCGTAGCAGGCGCTTGGAAGAAGTGAGCGAAAGAGAGAACGGGCGCGCGTGAGGGAGACACGCGAGGGGTGAGACCCCTTCTCGCGCGCCCGTTTTTTCTTGTGCCCACCACTTCCAAGCGCCTGCTACGCAGGCTAGAAATCATCATGCACGGGAACTGTCATACATGTCAATTTTTTCGTTTTTCTTCTGCCATATTGGCATCTGTTGCATGACCACTTTTTGTTGAGATCCAGAAATTTTGCCACCATAACAACTGTGAACATGGATGATCGAATGATTGAACAGTTTGTCGACGAAGATGATTTCATCATAAACTTGGATTTTGACAATCAGCTTGGGCATTTTGAGTTAACTCTTCAGTATTGAAATCACCCCATACCATCAAAAGCCAAAAACTATATTATATATAAATATTTTTTTCTTTGCTCCAACATTCTTAATGTATTCTTTCTTTCAATCTTTAAGCTTTACACGTGTGAAGTGAAAGTATAACATGTAGGATTATTACCGGTACGTTATTTAATATCTTCTTGGCATATGGGAACCTGTAAAACCCCACTTCTTCAAGTTAACCCTTTTAAAACATACAGGAAAAATGCTTTATTTCTCTTTTGTAAAGTATTGAAAGACAAATAGTGTCATGTCAAAGTACTGCTGAAGAAGTCTCATTTGAATGGTCACACCAGTCCACAAACATAAAGTTAGAACCACATACAAAACAATTGACCGTGTAAAAGTACTGTTACATTATAAGGTTTTATTGGACTGGTCTCGTGATAGGGATTAAGTCCAGAGTCAAATGTTATAGCTACAGTATGTACAAAACAAATAATTAATAGTATCATGTTAAAGTACAGCTTAAGGTGTTTCATTTGAATGGCTACACTGTAGGATGTCATCTACAGACTCAGAAGTTAGAGCAACTCACAAAACAGACAGTGCTATGTGAAAGTACTGCCAGAGGTTCTATTTTAAAAAAGGCCACATGACAGAATTTCATCCTCAAACTCAAAAGTTACACAAAAAAGGATGTAACCATTATTATTATTATTATTGTTATTATTATTATTATTATTATTATTATTATTACTATTATTATTATTATTATTATTATTATTGCAGTTCGAACGTCTGGATACCCAGAGTAAAATTATTATTATTATTATTAGCTTTGGAGAGTGAGAGGATTAAGTAACGTAAAAAAATTCATTTTTACACTAAAAAGATATAGGTAACAGTAACATTATGATAGCTTAGTCTCAAAGTGACCATTCATCATGAGGTCATAAAATCACATAGTAATTTCATAAAAAACAAACTTGTGTCTTGTATCAAACAGTACCACAGGGCAGTATTGCTAAAGAGACTTTTCATGTGAACAGCAATGTACCAATCCATACTATATGAAAATACTAAAGGAGAAACTTCCATTCATTTTATATTCCATTTGTCACACTTCAGAATTTGAGCTTAAAATTAAAAAGCTCCTTTACTATATTAAAGCTAAACCTAACATACAGATTGTAGATTTGAAACAGTTTTTCAGACTGGCATCAAACATGCTCTCCTCACTCATCAGCTTCCAGGTAAAAGGAAAAATGGCTGATGCAGATTGTAAAAGCAGTCTGGCAGAAGAGTAGATCAAAACTTGTATTTTATTATAACGGTTG